CTATAGCAAAAGTGGCACTAGACCTAGTTTACATTTCGGACATTTACCAAAGGTCTAGTCATACTAGGTCTGGTTAAGTGCCATTGCCCGGTATATCCTACACTGATGTTTTTTTAAGGTCAAGTGCCACTGCCCGGTATACCCTACACTGACGTTTTTTAAGGACAAGTGTGCAAGTGCTTGGTATACATTTGCCCGGTATACCCTGCACTGATGTTTTTTTAAAGTCAAGTGTCATTGCCCGGTATATATTTGCCCGATATTCCAAACACTGATGTTTGTTCTAATCTATCATCAGTAAGTATTAAAGTATCGAATAAATGTAATTATATCTACGAATAAATTCATATCAAATCGGATGTAATAAATAATTTACATAATAACCTCATCAGGACATTTCATACTTTGCCTAAATATCATCCGGCATTTCAAAAAATAAAAATAATTGTTTTTTTTTGGCGATGATCTCGTAAGGCGATAAAGAATCATGCATAGTGCAGGTAAGGAAGATATTAACCTCGAATCAAAAGTGGATGAATACTCTAAGGAACCGTTTTTTTTACGCTAAATTGAATGTAAAATAATTAATTTTTTTTATAAAAAGGGACTGAGAAATATTCAAATTCGAAAAATATCAGTTTCATAACATAACTATGATATAACAAGAGCGTGTAGAAAATCCATAATATTCTAAATAAAACGTTTTGTAACTTTTTATAGAACGAGAATAATTCTTAGTTAGATTAATAATAATCTCCTGCATAAATTAACTCGATATATTTAGAAGCAAGGCGAGGCTCCTTGGTTACTAATGTAGATAGAATTGAATTAGTTTAAAACTACTGAATAACTTGAGGCACGAAACCTCGACTTTGATTTATTGAGAAAGGAAGCAATTAAGTCACAAGATTACTTGTTTTATATTACCTTATTTACACTCGGTTTCGCTCTTTAATTTATAAATAGCAATGTTAATATACTTATTCAAAATTTATTCCTTATGCTTAGGGTAATTATATCGTTTGATTTTCTTGTAGAATTTCTAACAAATTTTTCGAAAACGATGTAAACATTATGTATTTAAATATTTGATAACTACAAAGCGAGCATAATAATTATATCCCATGTTTTGGTATCAAAACAATATTGGTAATAATAATGCATTTTGTTTTTAACAGTATTTAGTATGTCTTTTTTATTTTAGAAGCCGTTTTATTTGTTTAACAAGGATTCCAGGAATTCTATAAAGGATATAACAGTTTTCTTCGATTTCTGCATATATATATATATATACACTACCGGTCAAAAGTTTGCGAAAATTTTGAAATCTACAAAAAAAAGTTCTAAATTCAAATGTTCATAGAACTGCGAAAAATCATTCAAATGGCATGAAAATTTGATATGTTCTAATGTGAACCCCTAAACTATAATCCTTTTTTA